CTCTGTGGTCTACCCACCACGAGTATCAAAATCCGTTTTTTACTTTATAAACCCTCAGACTCACTGTTGAGTTACGGGGGGGCAGTATATAAAAGATAATTTGTAATGATTTTTTTGTCCTAAAAATATTCCACGCCCCAGGGGCTTAGTGGTAAGTCTGGGGTCTTATAACGCTAAAAACCGGGGTTTGATACCTGTTGTAGGCTCAGCACAGGAAGACCATTGTGTAGCTTTATACTTAAAAGCAATTTAAAAAAGCAAATAAAAACTAAAATTATCCATTTCAAATCTTACTTTGTACCGCTTTGATTTCGAAACAACTCTATACTACATCAGTGACTGAAATAGAATTATACATTTTTTCCAACGCTAAAATCCGGGACACAGCAGATAGTTCATTGTGGCTTTGCTCTAAAGAAACAAGCACTCGGTTACGTATCTCAATTCTTTGTTATCGTATTTCCAATATACATGGCCCGCCATGGCCAGGTGGTTAGGGCGCTCGACTCGCCGTCACACCAAACATGCTCGCCCTTTCAGCCGTGGGTGCGTAATAAAGTGACGGTCAATCCCACTGTTCTTTAGTAGAAGAGTAGCCCAAGAGTTGGCGGAGGTTATGACTAGCTGCCTTCCCTCTAGTCTTACACTGCTGAATTAGGGACGGCTAGCGCAGATAGCTCTCGTGTAGCTTTGCGCGAAATTCATAAAAAAAAAAACCAATATACATGTACCGTAAACTTTACGTATAGTTTCAAATATCAATATTGTTTTGTTTTTTTACTTACTTTTCAATATCAATCTGCGAAAACATGCATAAGATCGAACAAGAGCCAGAAGGGATTTAGTGAAAAAAAAATCTATAAAGTCAATGACGAGAAAGTATAAATTCCAATTATTTTTTTTTATGTAAGTATCGGCTACCATTATAATATTTTCCAAACTTAAGTATACAACAACAAACGTTTTCGTGAGTAAAGATACGAAAATAGCAGATTATTCAGAAAGAATTCTCATTTTTTTCACACTGCATTATTACCTGGAAGTAACAGGTGTGTCCAGTAAGAAAAAGAAGCAATGAATAATCACAATTATCGTTTCTTTTCTATTACGTCTTCTCGTGCTAAATGCTTAGCATCTGTTTCGGAACTGTCTTAAGAAAATATTTGGTTGTTGAGACACAGTTAAATCAGCTGCAGTTGTGGCTCCAGCTTTTCTTAACTGAGGTGGGGGAGTAGAGGGAACAATGAAACATATAATGGGGCCATTTTTAAAATAAATCTAAAAATAGATTAACTAGCCTGACCCCCCTCCCCGTTAGAGATGACTATCATCAACTGTCTCTGGTATTGATCAAATGTTTCAGTAGACAGCCATTTGCAACAAATGAAGTACAAAGGAACCTGATTTTTGAAACTTCTCAGGATCATTCTGATGCTTCATATCCCTATCAAATATAAGACTTCATGTTTCGCTAGAAACGCTGTTTTTACACATATAGTTAAATATTACATCTATCAATTCCATGTCTTCAAAATAACATGAGTCTTTAGTTTCACATAAAATGAAACCACCAATACGTTTAACAAACCAAATTAAAACCATCAATATTTTAATTGGGTTCCGTCTAGCAGTAACACAGCTGTTTAAAAATATCATGTTCCTAAGTGCTTTAAAGCAATATCACGTAAAAGTGGTGGACTTATTGGCGTGTACTGCATCATGTAGTAATTGGTTGGATCTTTATTCAGAATTCTTAAACTGATCTAAAGAGTTGTAAAAAGTGATGTTCTCAGTATATTGTACCTAGTCATCACCACTCACCGCCAACTCTTTGACCAACGAACAGTGGGATTAACCGGCACATTATAACGCCCTCACGGCTGAAATGGCGAACATGTTTGGTGGGACGGGGATTCGAACCCGTGACCCTCAGAGTGCAAATTGAGTGCACTAACCACCTGGCCATGCCAGGCCTCTATTCAATATGGACGAGACCCAGAACTTTTATCACAGAGAGTAAGAGATGTAACAGGTAAGATCGCTTCAGTTCCGAAAAAAAAGGATCGGAAATCTGTTAAAAATTCAATTTCTTGAAGACTAAAGCTAACATTTTAATAGCAATAACGAAGCATTATACAAGCTCTATTTGTTTTGTTTTCCATAACCACAGCAGTAGCTACAAGTAATGTTTGCTTGTAGTTAAGCACAAAACTACACAATGGGCTATCTGTGCTCTACCCACTACGGGTATCAAAACCCGGTTTCTAGCGTTGTAAGTCCGCAGACATACCGTTGTGCTACTAGGGGGCTACAAGTAATGTAAATTTATGGCTGATCTAAAACATATTAACCGTATTAATATACTCAGAAAAAAGAGGAACATCAGAAGATCTGATGTTGATTTAATTAATGGACTAATTAATGTAAACAAGGATGTTTGTATTAGCTGAAACTTTTATATCTTCATTGCATCATTAAGTATTATTTACCAACGGGCTTATGATTCATCTATTGATCTGAATAGAATTATTGAAGCCCGCTTATCCAGCAATGATATAACATTTTTGTTATAATGTAATTACTTGTACGCGTATCTCCGCTATCAAATAATAACTTCAATGGTGATGGCTTTAGATGATGAATCGACACAATTAGATTGTTTTGTTTCATAATTTCGAGAAAAGATATACACAGGAACTATCTGCGCATACAGTTCTTAATTTCGAACTGATAGACTAGAAGGAAGCCAGCTAATTAACAGTACATATCGCCAATTGTTGGCACTACTCTTGTGTCATCGCATTCTGAGGTTTTACCGCTATCCTTGTAACGCACTCATGGTCTCAAAATGCGAAGCGCGTTTTTGCAGTAATTGGTCGCAAGCCATGAATCCTCTGATTCATAGTCCGTGCACTCTAACCACAGATGTATCTAGTTATTCATTTAAATATAAGTTATTTAAAAAAAAACGGCAATATGCTTATATTTATAAACTTTAAACTCAACCCATAAGGCTTAAGTTTTGTTATGAGGTTTTGTTGTTAATTATTATAATTTTTGAAACTTTTATTGTTATTACTATTATTACAACTATTCTACCACTTAGTGTTAATTCAGTCAGTGTTATTTCACCGGTCTTTAAATGATAGGCATACGACAATATTAACTTATTTCTGTTGACATGATTGTGTCACCAACATTAAAAGTCATTGAGTAGTGTAATCTTTGTCTATTTCATTACATAGTTATATAATAGTTAAGGTGGATAAAATTACTAGTAATTTGTTAATTTTTATCATTTTTAAGTGAGTAATATGACTCACAAGACAAATGCAAAATGATTTAAGTTACAGTTTAAGTTACATTTTCTCAATTAAAAGCAGAAATATAATAATATATATGTTATATTGAGTATTTTAATTAATGTTTAAGCGATATTATATATACATATCCCTCGTTTGTATCTATTTCTTACACTATTTCTACTAGTACCATGATATGTGCCCCAACTGGCTACTCAGCAATAAGTTTAGCGTATCCCTCGAGTGGCATTGCGCAAAATTTCACAAAACAACAACAACTAATCGCGTAGTGGAATTTACTCGTCACTGTCATAATGCACCCACTGTCCTAAAGTACGGAACGCAATTTTTTGACAACGGGGCGCGAACCATGGACCCTTCTTTTCACAGTCCGGAACGTTAAAAATTTTTCCATGCTCAACCCATGTTGCAAAAGATGTACATGATCTATTCATTTCAAATTAAAAACAGACACGTACCCATCAAATGTAATCTCTCAAAACTTCGATTCTTCAATTCAAAATTATTCATGAACGTTTCACCACAGGATTTTCGATTGGACTTTATTTTTGTAAAGTTACAAGATTTTTGATCTCATTGGTATTTATGTTTAAAAGTGCTTAATAACGATCCCATTCCCCCGCACAAGACCATCTTATCGCAAATCAACGACGTATATCTCTGTTATCATTTTGGCTGCAATGTACATCAAGTGCTCATGTTATTGTTTGTTTGTTTTTTGCGTCATTGTCCTGGAGCATTTAAAATGACAATTTATGTTCCTAAACGCAGCATTTATTTCTAATTGCACTTATTATGGAATATATTTTACTCCATCTTAGGGGACCGTTTTATCCTAACTTATAGTTAAAATGGCCCCAACCGGAAGGAATGAATTTTTTAATATTTGAAAATAAGATAACTATATTTAACTATAGATTACATTTGAAATAAAACATGGCTGGTTTTAAAACCTTTTGCCTTTTCATGAAATTCATCTTAATTGGTGAAAACTGCATTCGAAGTTAAAATGATCATCTTATCTCATCTTCTCTTAAATCAGTAACCAGACATATGTCTTAAAATTATATTTATACGTCTAACTCTCAGAACATCTTGTTATTAATGACTCAAAAGTTTCTTTTTTTGTTTTAACTCGAAATAAATGCTTTAAATATTTTATTATAGATTAGTTATGTGTATGATATTATATCACAATAATACTGATAATAATGTTTAACACATATTTTTTACACGCTCTACAATACGGGTTTCCTGCTGGAAGAACATAATCACATTTGGACGGCACAATATGTGAAAAGCACGCCGTTGCCGACGAGACCTTTCTCTGAATACCAGAACTTATAAGGTTGGCTGGGCATGCAACACACAAAGCCTAGTTCTAAAGCTGTTTATATCAGTCATTCATAAGATATCAATTATTACGGTACGTAAATAAAACGTTGTTAAAAACGTTACCAGTTTTATTGTGATATAATGTCATAAAAACGTCTTACATTATAGTAAAAAAGTGCTAAAGTGTATGTATTGCTAACTAAGTATAAATAGCTATTCTGTGTCCACTTGTTACACAATATTTTTACTTCGGTTTAAATTGCTAATGTCATGCATAAGATTTAAATATATTCATAAATCTTAAAAGCATAAAACAAACTGAGTTTCAAATGTGAAACTTACTTGAAATAGCAGAATATAAAGAACGTAACACACAAGAAGAAGAGAGATATGAGAGACCCAATCAGCAATATGTAACTCACCACCAAGGGGATTGGCGGTGATTCTTTCTGTTGAAGAAAAAAAAAGCAAGCAGTAATAAACAGCAGAAATTTCGTTTGGGACAAAAACGAGAAAATAAACAATTTAACAAATATCAGTACCATATAAAGTAAAAGTACCATTTCCACATGAATAAATAATCTATATTTTATTCCTTTGAAGTAAAAGTACCATTGCCATTTGAATGAATAATCTATATTTTATTCTTTTGAAGTAAAGGTACCTTTGCCATTTGAATGAATAATCTATATTTTATTCCTTTTAACTGTGTAACACTTTGTTGTCCTGGGTGTCATAAACCAAATGCTCTTATCTATAGAAAATGAAAAATATAAGGAAAGAGTGCACGTTTTCTATGTATTTGTTTTAAGAGAATAACATGTGATTAGCTCTCAATTTCTAAATTTAATTACAAAACAGGCCTAAGCCTAGCTTTGAGATAATTATAGTTGGTATGTTATACTAAGTATGAAACAAAACTGGTTTCTAAAAGCTTTCTGCCTGCTTGCTAATCTAACTGTAGTTAAGAGTTAGCGGGTATCTGATGCTATGTAACTTAAGCGAGACTTTCTGGTTAAAGTGATATTTACTAGTAAGATTTGTGTATTATATTTATATATTTACTTCACTAAGGGTAACATTTCGCCCAGTTTAGAACATCGTAAAGACCACTTCATTTAGAAAGTTTATTTTGTAATATTTGTTTGATTTTACGCAAAGCTACACGAAGATTATCCATCTGTGCTAGCTGTCCATAATTTTGATGTAATAGACTAAAGGAAAGACATCTAGTCAACACCACCCACCGCCAACTCTTGGGCTTCTACTCTTGTCTGATTTGAAAGTGAAATTTGACAGCTACTTTTATAATACATTCACATCTCGAAAGTGAGAAGCAAGTTTTTTGAAACAATGTGCTGTGAATCATTAACTTTCGGATTTCCAATCCAAACGTACTTTCACTAACCATTAACCTTCGGATTCCCAATCCAAACGTACTTCCACTAACCATTACCCTTCGGAATTCCCTAATCCAAACGTACTTCCACTAACCATTACCCTTCGGATTCCCAATCCAAACGTACTTCCACTAACCATTACCCTTCGGATTCCCAATCCAAACGTGCTTCCATTAAGCTTCTAACGACCACTGGAATAACTATCTTTAATTTAGGGCTGTTTACCAGAAAGAAATTAAACAGTGAGCAGTATTCTCTGCCTACACGCCTGCTTTAAATCGAATACTGGATTTAACCGCTACACTTATAACGAGCTACACGAGGGCTATCTGCGCTGCGCGAAATTCAAAAACAAACAAACACTTAGGTATAGTCAGTTCAAAATAAAGTACAAGGTTGTACTCGCACATGAAAATTCGTATTTGAACGAAGTACGGATCTCTATTTGTGATTAAAATATAATAGTTTTATATAATATAAGAATGCAATCTTCGGCAGAATTTTATTTAATTTTTGCTGACTTCCGATGTTTTTCCTAACTGTGACTTAAAGGAAATGACAAATGTCTGATTACTTTTAAAAACTACTCTAGCCGTTCCTTGAAATTTAGTAATCATATAAAATTTTATCTTAGCTAAGAAACCAAAATCAGTTGAGCTTAGTCGCACAAAAGTTAGCACATACACAGATCTGCGTACAAAAAGAAAATTGGTTGAATTATACAGGCTCCACGTCTTAAAATACAAGATTTCTCGAAATTTGAAATTACAATTATGTGTACGAAACGTACTAGTGTCAATAAGAACCAGGTTCCTGCGATATACAAGAAAAACTTGTGAAACTAATAAAATGTTTACAAATTGCGGGATAATTCTCTATTTGTTGACTATAACTTTAGAATATATTTAGGACTCCTTATATAGTTTTTATAAAGATATCTTACGTATGTTTACTGCATGTTTATACTGGTTTATTGCATGCTTATACTGCCTTCGTGTATTTTAGTTGATGCAGACCAAATCCCCTTTATATTGTTTTAAAACATCATTCCATTGTCCCCACCACTCAGATTGAATTATTTATGTGTAGTTTATTCCGAATGTAGGGTTACAAATTATAGAAAACTTTTGTTTCTAGCATTATTTCCATTGTCTTCCTGGAAAAATTTATCTTTATTTTAGATAACTGCTCACTTCGTATTGTTTAAAAGCGTGTTATGCTTCTGTTACGACAGCGGAAGTCACGTGACTCTGGTAACACGTCATGAGATTCTCGAAGGATCTTG